TCCTCTACCTGTACCATAGTATGTGCTAGCTGCTGAGACATAAAATTGCACATAGCTATTTCAACCCTCTACCATAGTATGTGCTAGCTGCTGAGACATAAAATTACACATAGCTATTTCAACCCTCTACCATAGTATGTGCTAGCTGCTGAGACATAAAATTACACATAGCTATTTCAATCCTCTACCATAGTATGTGCTAGCTGCTGATACAATCCCATGTTTATGAAAAATTGTTGTTGTTTTTAAACACAAATAATTTTTAAAGAGAAAATACCATGAGAAATGCCTAAAAGAAAGTTATACATTCCATGCTTTTGTCCATTCATCATATGCTTACCACCACAATGACACAATTCCTGTTTTTGTCCATTCAACATATGCTTACATAAATTGTCATGTATATAGGACAGAAGGCCAAACAGTTCATGGCATTTCTGGCATTTGTCCAAGTTCTAATATTGAGCAATACTGATGTCAGTAGCTGACCATATTACTGCATGTTCTACTGAAGGCTCTGCATTTACATGCAAGCTAGTAAAATCAAATTGCCAAAAGTATATGTCATGCTTTTTAATTTAATTTTTACGGCTGTGAGTTAATAATGCGCATCATGGCTGTGAGGTATGTTAAAATGAAAGACCAGAAGAACAATAATACATTTAGTAAAGTCTGCTTATGTCTGCTTCTGATGATGTTATCATTCTGTTTACTGTGAATGTATTAATTATTTACTGGGTTTTAATTTCATAATTTCCACAGATAAGTTAGTAAAATCCGTTAAATTAAATCTACATGAATATGTAAAATAACAATAAAACTCGTTGTTTCCTTGACAAATTCGTAAAAATTAAAACAGTGATTATGCTCAAAACATCAAAATAGTGAAATTAAATGTCAGTAAAAATAAATTGCTGATAATTGAAAATAACTAAATTAAACTACATGTATGTGAACATGTAATATTTCAATAGAACACCTGTTTCACTGACAAATCTGTAAATATGCTCAAAATATCAAAAAAAGGGAAATTAAATTCCAGTAATAATTTATGCTTCTACAATAGTAAATTTGTCTTTGTTTGCCATAATTTTTCCTGACAAAATATTATATGCCAGATTTTGCAAATTTTCGCTATTGAAATACCAGTACATGTATCATTATCTTGAGATAAAAGTATTTTGACTTTCATAATCTGTTACATCTTAGAGCCAAACTAAATGAATGACAGTGTAAACTTTCAATAGGCCTAATGTATGACCCCAAAAAAAGTCACACATTTCTTTCTGGGGTACAAACTCACTATAAATAGAAAAAAAAAATTATTTCCAAAAATGTCAAACTGTGTAAAGTTCTTAAGAAGTTCAGCATAGCAAAAAGTGAGAAATATACTAGTATCATTATACGGTATCATTCAGTCTTGTGTGGTTTACAACATTCTAACCACAACGGTGACTTTTAAAATTGTAAACTGACTCAAAGTCATACAATTATACTTGCACCATGGGTTAATTTACATAAAACGTTCAAAATACGCTTTGTCATTTGCTCATAGATAATTCAAAACAATCAAAATGACCAATCTAAATAGTTATTATGTGTTACATTAATAAATGAACACATTATTTCTGTCATAGGAAAGCAATACAGGAATTGCCAGCATGTATGACCTTCAGGGGTTATGTATATGGCTTAATCTTAATGAGGAGTTGACACATTAGATTTGAACCAAACAAGTTTTCACTGTACTTGAATACACTGGAGAATTCACATTTACAGTAAAATATTTTATAATAAATATATTTATTAAACAGGCATATCAAGGATGTTCTACTTGTCACTGTTATTGTTCAAGTACTGAGTATATTCTCCAACTATTTCTGGATTCTTTGGTTTATTGTACCCGGAGCTGCTTTACTCTACATCTGGAGGAACTTTCTGTCACCATGGTTATTTGCACCAGCACCGGAAATTGATGAGAAGAAACAAAAGAAGATGGAGAGGAAAATGAAGAGAAGATGAGAATGTGGAGTTGAATTCCACTGTGATTTATTTATTAATTATTTTTTTAAAAATGTTAACTCTGATATATGAATTAAAGTTCTTTTTTCTCCACCATGCATTCATGTATGCCTGATTAATTCAATTTTCTAAGAAAAATAAAGAATCAGTAAAACAACTAATATTCCCTTAGGGACAACTTCAAAAGATCGATGTCGGATAAAAAAATTATTTGGGGGTGGGGGTGGGGGGGGGGGTGTGTTGACCTCAAAAAGTTTCCATCCTACAAATTTTTAATGAAGTCAAAAAAATCATGGAGTATTTGTAGTTCGTTTTTTTTTTCTATCCAATCATGGACAAAAATAACAGAAAATGATAAAACAAACATCCAAGACGAGAAAATGATTTGGCCAGAGTGAAAATATTTGCGTCAAATGAGGTAAATTTCAGGGCATGGACCTAGAACCAACTGCTATGCCATACTACTGTTCGATTATTAATTTGTATTTAATGGTGAATGTAGTCTGCCGACATGATCAATATTTATCAATTAAGTTTCGGTGGGGGGTGGGGAAAAAAATAAAGGAATTTAGTTTTTTTATCCTACATTGAACTTTTGATGTTGTCCCTTACTGTCATAAATCCTTGCACTCTGTACAAATTTTTTCTAATGTAATTTGAATACTATACTTTGGCTGAGTGGTCGCATTGATATGCATGCATGCATTACCCTGTTTAAATCTGTTCTATGTATATGTTGGTCTAATTGTCATGGTCTGATTGTTGAAGACTAGTAAATGACTGAAAACTGACAGTGAATGTTTTAACATACATTATCACATCTTCTTGTTTATACGCATGCTGTGTTTGGGTAAAACTCAGTCACATGACTCTGAATAAAAAGGTGTATTACATGGTATATTGCCTGCTAAGTGGATATTGCATTGTATATAACATGGATGGTGTCACTGAAACTACTGCACACAACGAGCTGTCACTCACTGCACTGGTGCTGTTCCGGTGACTGTCGCAATGGGACAGAATAATTCCCTGTACACTCGCATAGAACAGAGTAGTCCACACATGTTTTATTTTTGATCTGCCTGCAACACTGTATGGCTGAAAGTCATTGACCCCCCCCCCCCCCCAAGTCAGATATCCTTCTGCTCAAGGACGTGAAACTCAGTATGGTGTTGCACTATGGCCTTTCAGAAACTGCTTTATTATCGCTTTTATAATTTATATCTGTAATTCAGTATTTGTACATTATGTTTTAAGGAATTGATTCGACAAGACTGTAATTAATTAATTCCGTTCAGTTAATCATTATTCTTAGAAGTCATGTGATCACCCCTGCATGCTACATGCTGTATAGTGTTATCATTGAAGCTACCGAATGTTTACTTTCATCGACATTAAACTTTATTCGCCTTGTGATACTTGCTTTTTATGTTGCTTCAATCATGTTTCCGTACCAGTTATTCAATTTAATGTCACTTATTACTCAACTTGTGTTACAACTTTTGCCACAGTGCAGATTACGATGTAATGAACTTGATTGTAGTTGCTAGGAGACAGACATTGACAGTGTTGTTATGACAATTTATGCGCATTTATCTCC